AACCAGTGAAGCTGTCGAAGAATGGGGGTGATACGGTCTCTTAAGGGAGTACGAGTTATGACCCGAGCTGCGGAATTCTGAAGAAGTTGAAGTTTATGAAGGGACTTATTGGGGAGACCAAATAGGAGGGAGTTGCAATAATCGATCTAGGAAGTAATAAGACTATGGACAAGGATGACAGCAGCATGGGGAGTAAGGAAGGGACGAAGTCAGTTAATGTTATGTAAGTGAAAGTATGCAGACTGGGTTTTCCCACATAGCAAGCTGGTCTGGCCCGGATCTGGTATCAAGCCGGCACTGCTGGCTGACTTCTGGCATGATAAGACGTATGTCATCCAGCTATGGGCCAGGTCTGGCAATGATGCCACTGTTTATGCGATGGCATGCCATATCTGGCCCGATTATGGTTTGGTTTATGTGGCCCAGGCCCATAGAAAACAGCTCTGGCTGGGATCCGGCATCAAGCTGGCACTTCTGACTGACTGGTGTTATGGCAGGGTGTATGTCAACCAGATGCAGGCCAGGTCTGGCAATGATGTTACTGTTTATGTTCCTATTTTCCTATTTTAGTTAAAGACCCAAATGCCATGTTGCAATACTATACTGCTATGGTAGCCAACGTTTCAAATGCAGGTTTGACAGGTTTGTGAGTGTACACTTTACCCAAAACCTAGAGAGGGTTTACTCATCTTTGCCAGTGGGTGGCTGTAGCTCAGGTGGTAGAGCAGGTCACCTATTAATCGGAAGGTTAGTGGTTCGATTCCTGGCTCTTCAGTCTGCATGTCGTGAGTGTGAATGTGTATGAATGTAGTTAGGAAGCACTCAGCTTAGAGAAAGTTTGTGGTTGGGTGAATGTGGCATGTTGTGTAGAGCACTTTGAGTAATCTGGGAGAGTTGAAAAATGTTATATAAGAATCAGTCCATTCACTGTCTGAACAGAGTTTCATCATGTTACTTTTGCACTATTATACACATGTTGTTATTACATGGCTTAATTAAGGTACACATTAGCCTGACATCTGGGGCCAGAACTGAAACTGTTCTGGGTCAGCACAGGGCCAGCAGTGTGTCTGCAACTGGCCCGTGGCTGCACACAACTTGCACATTGCACACATACCGCAAAGAATGACGGCCCTTTGGCGGCCCAGACCAGGTTTGCCAGAGGTAATCCACACATGGGCCCGCAAAGGACCACCAGTGTGTCTGCAGCTTGCCATGTGCTGGCCCATGTGTAGGCCACCTTTGGCAAACCAGATTTGCGTGGGCCAGATCCGGACTAGGGCTGGGCCATATTATACCGTTCACGGTAATACCGGTATAATGTTAGGCAACGATAGGAAAATGAAATATCGCGATAGAATATGAGTAAAACGCGCATGCGCAGTGCCTTTGTTTTCATACGCACATGGCCGATTGTTGAGTGAAACAGATGAACCAGAATTGGTTTGTAAAAATGGTGCAACTTCAGTGATGTGGAACTGGTTTGGTGTTTGTCCGTCAGATACACGACAAAGCACATTTTTTTTGCAGAACATGCAAGCGGCCGTTGTTATTGTCATATTTGTCGGACTAAGATGCTCTTAAATCTGGGAGTAATCTGGGTCCTAAACTCCGTATTCTTCAGGTCAAACAACACTGCAGCATCACTGAGAGTTAAAAACTGTCTAAATTCTTTCATCTTTAATAAAACGATCAGCATTGCTGCTTTACCAGGTGTAACTATAAAGTTTAACTTCCAGGCATCCATGAAAACAAAAGTTATTACATTTAACGGAGTTAGAAGTTAGCAGGAAGCTAGCGGAAGTTAGCTCGCTAGTTTCGCTAGTTACCTAAGCATGATATAGCATGTTCTGACTGAGAGATTTCTGAAAAAAATCAAACGTACAGCTCTGCTATCACTTCCAACATAAATGAAGACAGGAAACTAAACAGCAGTGACGTTTGTAGGGTTACTGAAGTTGGGCTAGCTGGTATATAATGATGTGCTACGTGATCGCTAGCGACACAGCTATGTTAGCATAACATAAACAGTGAAGCTGGAGGACGAACACTAACACTTTTCCACTTATAAAAGTTAACGTGAAGGTTCCTCATGGTTAGAGACAAATGCAATCGCATGGCAGGATGCTGTAAACGGACCAAACTTCAGTCAGGAGAACAACTGAGATAATCCATCCACAATACGAGGTTAGTCATTAATATACTGCAACAACATGGGAATAGAGCAGCTGCCAGAGAATTCAACATTAATGAATCAATGGTACAGAAGTGGAGGAAGCAAGAAGAATGAGTTTAATAAAGTTTGATTTATCTGACTGCTTTGTTTCGCTTAATGTGCCTTATAATCCCGTGCACCTTATGGTCCGAAAAATGCGTACTGCACACTGCAGTTTAATGTTGCAAAGCACCTCTTTTTAACTTCAGTGGATATTATACATGGTTATGCTCAGGATATGTCAGCCCATTTCTACTGGAAATGCCTTTTGGTTAAACTTTCAGCAAGGAATTTGCATTTGCACTGTTACATTTTTATAAAGCTTTAATGTACATAAAAACCAGCTTCTTGTTTAAGTGAAAATAAATGGAAGGTTGTCTTTTTGCGCTAGTAATGTTGTGGAGTATTTTGTCTTGCATCAATTATATCGTCAGTTATATCGTTATCGCAAATTTTCAAATATATATCGTGATAAATATTTTTGGCCATATCGCCCTGCTCTAATCCGGACTATACCAATTTTCCTATGTGGGATGTAATTAATGTGAGACTGAAATGAGAGAGTATTGTCAAGTATGACACCCAAACTCTTTACCTGCAGGGAAGGACGGATGGGGGCATTTTCAATATTAATGGAGAAACTGTGAGATTTGGTTAAGGTAGAGGCTGTGCCAACGAGTAAGACTTCTGTTTTATTACTGTTAAGTTTGAGAAAATTGGAGGAGAACCTAGATCTAATCTCCATAAGACAGTTCGAGAGGGTAAATAATGAATAGAAGAGGCCCTAATACTGAACCCTAGGGGAACACCAGCAGAAACAGGATATAGACTTGAAGAGTGTGATTTAAGTTGGATAAACTGAGTGTGGTCTGAGAGATATGAGGTGAACCAGGCAAGGGGTGTGTGACTAATGCCTATGGATGCTAATTGGCTCAGGAGGATATTATGAGAAATTGTGTCAAATGCCACATTTGGCATTTAAGATCCAGAAGATCCAGAAGGATGAGAATGGTTAAAAGACCAGAATCAGCTGTCATCGGAAGGTCATTAGTAATCCTTAACAAAGTAGTTTCTGTACTATGATTGGGGCAGAAACCAGACTGAAATTGTTCATAGAGATTATGGTCATTGAGGTATGAGTGAAGTTGGGAGGCAACAACTTTCTCAAGGATTTTCGAAATAAAGGGGAGGTTTGATATAGGGCGGAGGTTATCAGAATTATTGGGATCTGCACCAGACTTTTTGAGAATTGGAGTGACAGAAGCAGTTCAGGGATGGAGGAATAATTCCAGTGTTAAGGGAAGAGTGGATAATACTAGACACAGTGGGAAGAGGGTTGAGCTGAAAAGTGGATGATTTTGATTTATAATTTCTTTCTTAAATCATTATTTGCACATTCTTTTACTGTAAATTTCTAAGTTAAAATCTATAAATTTTGTAGTCATCTGTAAATCTTACTGTTAACTCTTACTGTCATTTAATGGTCGGGCATTCCACAGCAATAAGCATTTAACCACATGTCGTACTGTGTGTGGTTGTGTGTGTCAAATAAATAAAAATTAAAATAAATTTGAATTTGGAACACTGGGTTGTAGAGCAGCTGGAAGGACTTGTGTATTTCTGGAGAGTCTGTAAAATCTGCAAAGCTGTCTTGGTTGATTTCAAAAACTCTGCACACTTCACTTGTCAGAAGGCTGTAAATTCAGCTCAGTGGTCAGATCAAAGCCTTCACCCGATGTCTCAGTGGCCGGAGCAAGAGCATATTATCATCATTTTAATCAGTCTCAAATGGTATTCACAGCATTGTATTCACCGTCCAAACTGGAGGGTCCAGCAGGACCTTGTTCTAATTCATTTGCAGGCCTACATCAGAACATGCACATAGAGAGTTATGTAAACACGCACGTTCGCATACACACTTATTTACACAGGGAGGTCGTGTCAGGACGTTCTCTAGTTGGACTCACCGAACTGCACAACATGACATGTCACACACTTGTTTTTCTCTAAAAGTATCATCCGATGTTTGTATAAGGAGAACTTTGGACTATGGGGAGACTGTTATCATTTCTAGTAAGGTCTAACTGTGTGATGTCATCATGGGTTATATAAGGATGGGGAGCTGTCCACTCTTTGGAGAATCTGTTGCACGTTTTCTTCCCACACTTCTGTGCAGAGTGTGTAATTAAAGATCACTATTTTGACACCTCCCTGGACTCGGCCTGCTTTCTTCTCTTACCCAAATCGAACGAATCTTAACACTAGTTACTTCTATCAAAAGTAACTCAGTTACTTCAAGTTACTCGTTACTTTCAGAGTAACTAGTTATTAGGGAAAGTAACTTTGGTTTTACTCAGAATTCTCTTGTTAATGTGTTGCTTCCGTAACTGGATTGCCAGTCTTCTAGCTTGCTTACTTGCCACAACTGCACTGTGCCACCTACCAAAGGAAAAAATAATGTGCACATTTCCACGAGAGAAATCCCACGCCTGATTCTATCCTAGCCTGCTTTTTACATCCAACACAAAAACTGCAGTCGTGGTGCTTTCGATTGTACTCAGAACTCGGAAATTCTGCCTTCTGAATAGGAAGATGTAGGTAACACCAGACTGCAGATGAGCTGCATACAGAGCTGGACTGGGACAAAAAAATCGTCCCGGGCATTTTGACTAGAGACCGGCCCACCATTATAGGAAAAATCATAAAGCCTTTGAATGAAAATAAACGCTGTTGTGACAGTGATATACACTGTTCTGATGGTATATATGTATAGATGCAAGTGGTTTTCTGTCACTAGTTTATTTGAAGACTTGTCTCCAAAGCCACCGTGAAAACTATAAAGCATTAAAAAAATAAAACTCAACGTAAGACAGCACCAAAAATAACACTGTACAACAAACATGATAAATCAATAAATACCTCGTTGGCAGCATGCTGCAAAAAGGGAATTATCCCCCGTTTCTTTTAAACGCGTGTAGTTAAAGTTCACTTAACATGACTTTCAATAAAGACCATTCTTGATGTGCGCTTACATGTGTTTTCTTCTTCTTTCTACCCAAAAAGGAAACTAGCACAACTTGTAAGCATGCTTGACTTTCAAAATAAAAGCATCTGTGATTAACTCTCAGTGCTCGGAGCTCCACACTTACACAGGTTAAAGACCCAGATTAGAGATTAACTCTCCTTTTTTCTTCAATGCACCAACACAAAACATGCACAAAGTTTAAACTCATTTCTCATACAAAAGTAACTCAATTTGAATGACACGCAACCAGCAACTAACTGTTTCTGTTTCCTTCTGACGTTTTTGCCCCATCTCTCAGACAGGTTTCCACACGTTCAAACACAGCAGAGTGAGAAAGAGGAAACTGCTGAGCAGCAGAACATCAGTAGAGATAGAAAATTACATGAACTGCCCATAAAAGACAGACATGGCCAGCAAATACACTCGCCTTGGTGAGTACATTTAAAAAGACTAATCTATAATATTAATTTATATAAAGGGTAATAAAACTCAACACCCACTTATTAAACTGAACATGTATTAGACTCTAGTCATTATTCTTATCTATCTCCTTGTTCGATCTCTTCCTCTAAGAGTGTTGCATAAACTTACTTAATTTTTCCATCACTTATCTTGAACCTGCCTTTACCTTTTCTTCTTCTCTCACTTCTGCTGATCAACTCTTACAGGTTTTCTTTTCTTGAACTGTGTTTAAGTTTTAAAAACTTGCCCTGTGTTTCTTTTTTATTTACAAAGTGGTTTGATGTCAGTTTGGGCTGCACACAATAGAACAGTACAAAGTACAAACTTTTTGTCTTCTGAGTTTGAATTGTGAAAATATTAACTTTATGGAAAGGAAATGGTAAAATTTAACTTTCATACAATCATCAATTAAAAGTGTTTAATACTCTTCAGCAGAGCAAGAAGAACCAGAGAAGCCAGAACTCAGGATTTTGCTTCTTGGAAAAACTGGAGATGGGAAGAGTGCATCAGGAAACACCATCATAGGAGAAACAACTTTTAAATCCATACCAGCTTTTTCTGCAGTAACATCAGAGTGTCAGAAGGAAACAAGTCTTTTTGATGGTCAAAAACTGGCTGTAATTGATACTCCAGGTTTATTTGACACCAGAAAAACTGAAGAGGAGGTGAAGGAAGAGATCAGTAGGTGCATCTCCTTTGCTGCTCCTGGTCCTCATGTGTTCCTGGCTGTGATTCAGGCCAACAGATTCACAGAAGAAGGACAAGAAACTGTGAAAATAATTCAGAACATGTTTGGAGAACAGTCAGCACGTTACACTTTGGTCTTGTTCACCTATGGGGACAATCTGGAGAGAGGTGGATTCACCATAGAAAACTTGATCAATGATAATCCTGTTATCTCTGACTTCATCAGTCAGTGTGGTGGAGGATATCATGTCTTTAACAACACAGTCAAAAATCCCTCTCAGGTCAGAAAGCTGCTGGAGAAGATCAACACAATGGTTCAGAGAAATGGAGGATACTACACCTATGAAATGTTCAGAGAAGCTCAGAGAGCCATGAACAAACCAGAAGCCGACCTCAGGATTGTTCTTGTTGGGAAAACCAAAGTTGGGAAGAGTGCAGCAGGAAATCTCATCTTGAGAGGAAAAGTATTTCGATCCACAGCTTCCTCTTCCTCTGAAACATCAGAGTGTCAGAAGGAAACGTCTCTCTTTGAAGGTCAAACATTGGCTGTAGTTGATACTCCAGGTCTGTATGAAACTAAACTAACTAAAGAGGAGGTGAAGAGAGAGATTGTTAGATGCATCTCCTTTGCTGCTCCTGGTCCTCATGTGTTCCTGGTTGTGATCCAAGCAAATGGATTCACCAAAGAAGAACAAAAAACTGTGAAAATCATTCAGGGTATATTTGGTGAACAAGCAGCTGATTACACGATGGCCTTGGTAATCCATGAAGATGGTGTGAATAAAGACACCATAGAAGAAGCAATCAAACATCCAGATCTCAAAGACTTTATCAGTCAGTGCCGTGGAGGACATCATGTTTTTAACAGCAGAAACAAAGATCGCTCTCAGGTCAGAGAGCTGCTAAAGAAAATCAACACAATGACTGAGAGAAATGGAGGATGCTGCTACACCACCAAAATGTTTGAAGAGGCAGAGAAAGCCATAAAAACAGAGATGGAACAACTGGAGATGACAGTAGGTTCAGCCAAAGAAGGACGATACAAAGCAGAAAGAAGGAACAAATTCACCCTGCAGGATTGGGACTCTACTATTGCTGGAACTGCTGCTTCTACTGCTGCTTCTAAAACTGGTCATGGTGCTGGAATTGTTGCTGGAGTTGGTGCTGGAATTGTTGCTGGAGTTGAAACTATAGTTCGAAGAGCACATGTTGGAGCAGCTGCAGGAGTCGCAGCAGGAAGTGCAGGAGCTGCAGGAGTTGCAGTGGACATTGCAGTGAATTTTGCCATAAAAGCTGCAATTTTGAAATGGAAATTGTGGGATTGTGTTACACAGTAATACACAGTAAAAATCAAAATCTATAATCAACTCGTAAACAAGGAAACAGATGACAATAATAATAGTACAGTAATAGATTGGACCTATAGAGTATTTTCTGATAAAGTGGAATATACTATATGATACCCAAAGAAAAAGTTTCTTTGGGACACCGTGAGAGTTTTTGTTCTACAGTAATTTTGATCATTAAGCAGTAACCTATTAAGGACAAATTATCATAAAGACAGAAGAAAATAATCACAGCATAGTGTACTTATCTTTGTAATTCTTATTTTTGCTGATTATTTTTGCATGAAATAAAATCTTTAATAACATCATAGTTTTTGTTACTTTACTGAATAGAAACATGTTAATCATTACTGATTATTAGCTTACTTGTAATGCCTTACATATCACCGCCTTTACCCAGGGGATGCCATACCCTGCATTTACGGACTTCCTAAAATCCACAAGGAAGCTGTCCCACTCAGACCCATAGTCATTAGCATAAACTCAGCCACTTATAACCAGTG